CGTAGCCTCAGAGACCTGAATCACCACAGATAGCGCTTCCTTATCCCATTTTTAACGCTCTGTGAAACTCATCGAATCAGTTCCTTTCACACTTTATCCGATCACACGATCCGGGTAAAAGTTACCCTTACCACTTGTTCCTGAGCCCATATCAGAAAGCGAGAATTAAAACCAATCTTATTCTCTTTAACAATATTCACAGAAGAACACATGTGAATTCTCAAAAAACTGTTGCTATTTAGGTGTAAATAATTGTCAAAATGTCAGTAAATTCCAGTGGATACCTGCAAAAACTCCAAATAAGTTGACGTAGACTTATTTCAATCCCCTGATGTTGGTACCCCTGTCATTTTGTTGACGCAACAGTTTGTATCTACCTATTTCCCATTTNTTTAATATCCACCTTTTCACTGACATTCAGCTAATTGTTCTTCAATGTAGTGTGCTACATTTTGGATCGAACTTAGCCTGGAAAAAACTTAAGTTGTATGCAACGAGAATATGATAATACCAGACTAACTCCATTGTTCTGTGTATACAATAATGTTTCGAGTGGACATATTCTTGTACAGCCTGTGTGATTTCACAGAACCGATTGCGTGGTTCTGAGTTCTCGGGAGCTCAGTAGTAGGTATATCGGCTGGTATTTCAAGGGTTCATGGTTCGATTTCCAGTATTAATACAGACAGAGTATACACTGCTAATGATCCCCAACATAGGTAAAACAGCTTTTCGATACTCCTCATTGGCCAACAAAGTATTTAATAAACTGTAGGAGATTCATACATATGTAACTGGAAAGTGAAAAAATAATTTCGTAAACTTCATATCGACTAGTCAGGATATTGTAATGAAGAAATGTACTTAATGGAACCAAATTATTTCTATTTGGGCTTCACTCAACTTTTTTTCTCATTACAGACAGCTACATAATACCTAGGAAATAATAAATTGATCCAGGCAACCCGATTGAGTTATGATTTCTATACGAACAATAGAACCTCAGACAGGATAGGATTTTACGCTAGCTAACATGTTCTCAAATCTGACGCCGACACATCCGACTAAAGGCAATCTGGGACAACTCTCTTCTATGTGCATTTGACGAGGAAGCCACTTAAATCATCATTGGATATACTTGATTCTCCGGCTATACGGTCTTTAAATAACACAACTGATGTTTTCCCATCAATTTTCTCCCTGTTTTACTGATTACGTTGTTATATAATACGTCTTCACAGAGAAAGCGATCAATCGTCACTGTCATAGAAATAACGAAATGGGGAAGTTGGACGGCAGTAGTGGGATTCGGGTGCACCATCTTCGAGCGAATGTGCTGTGGATGTACATCGCGGGCGAATTGAAAGCCAACGAACAGATGTGCAGACGGCTTCCTTGATATCAATAGTTCTTCACTTGTACCATCAGATGGTACTGAGTAAGGTGAACGAGTTTATGTGGATTTTAATGTACGCACAATTTAGTTTATTTCTTTTTAAAACCACCGCTACCGATAATTACTCGACGAAAAGGAAACGAAACTTTGTTTTTTTTATGTTCCCAGCATGACACTGATTTCCAGATGAAAATTCGGAGATTACAACCAAGATCCTATTTCAATATTTTTTCAAAATATTCTTATGAAACATAGAAATCGGGAATTTGAATCAATAATATTGATAATATGAAAATACCGAGCACAAACAGCCAGCAACTGAGAATGTCGAAACATACGAGACCACATTGGGGTAACCGTGGTTGAGTCGAATGAGAGAATGAAACTGCCTATTATTGTTGGAGGTTGCATTGTTTGGACTTTCAGAGTTAGGGCACGGAAAGCGCCTGTAGTGGAAAAGATACTACATATATGAATAAAAATGAAGTAAACGGTACATGGAACGGACTCACAGAAGGATTGTCCGGCTGGTCGATTGATCCTGTTCTTCAGATGTGTGGCTCCGGTTGTTGAGGTACGGTAAAGCTGAAATGGATGGCTGCGACAGTTAACGGACCGCTTGACGATAACTGATAATGATTGCTTAATGCTTCAGCAACACTCGGAGAACAGAATTTGTATTGTGGTGTTAGGTGTTGTGCATATTAAAACAATCTGTACAATCATGTCAGATAAAAGTGGATAGAAATGTAAGACACTACACGCCGTTGACAACGACTTAAAATGATTGACCATCACCACTCTCAACACCCCAAGTTGTAAGGAGAATTTGTATTATATATATATAAATCCAATAGTTAATTGCACTTTGCTTTGACGTTCGGGTGCTTGGTTCATACATTATATAAATGCAATTGTGGCTCACCTTCCTTCAAAGCCGATGCCGATTGAGGAGTGATTTGATAGCACTTTGCAATCACAAATAGGAACCTTAGCGTATGATCAGTATGGACGATGATAGCGAATTTCGGGTTTAAGTAGACGCATTTGAAGACATGCGTCTATTTGATCGAGGATTTTATTCAAATTTGGATTCAACCATCCTATTATTTGTCTCATTTTGTTTTTCTTTCATAGAACAACTATATCCTACATTCAAGGAATCTCATCTGTGTTGTTGATATGAAATAGCCAATGGGGTCAACACAGTAATTCAGCACGAATTTCTTAGAATAAGTATCGCAATATGAAGCGAGAATAGATTAGCTTTATACGAGGGCTGAGCAAAAGGTTTCCGAATACGCAGCACACACGAGTACGAGGTGCAGATGGCCGAGCAAGGAAAATGTGAACTGTAATCAATCGTGAATATTTTTCAGTGATTGTAACTCCCAGAACCAAAACTCAGCAGCCGAGCACATCTCACAAGTCATAAGGGTCGATATACTCTTACTGTAATAATTTTTTTCTACGACTGGAAATGGGGTTTAAAGCAGTAGTAGGATGTTGATCGTTTGCGAACTGCATTTGGTGATGACGCGCGTTCAAGAAGCATTGCTACCAAATGTCAAGCGCATGATACGTAGAAATCGATGGAAGTCACCAACAGCTGAGGTGGAAACCGTTATGGATGAACTGCTCGAAGAGGTACCCGCTTCGGTATGGTCAAGCTGTTTCGCCAAATGGTTTGAGCGCATGGAATTATGCATGCACGTTGGTTGAGTATACTTTGAGAAAATGTATTGCTGATTTTCGTGTGGCAAACAAAACATTTTATATGCATCCCTCATGTGTGCAGTAATACATTCTTGGTTGTTGTGGATCCCTGAAATGTATAACAATGAAGTACAATGAAAAAACAGTACAATCCAATGCAATAGGGTGCAGTGTAGTGTGTGTCGAGGATCATCCCGAACAGGGAAGATCAGACTTTCCGTTTATGTTCTACCAGAACAAACCATAATTTGTAACCAGTCATATTTGTTCACAATTGCGATACCTGTCTCATTGTGACTTTAAAAATATACATAGTGGCTTTGTTAACAATATAATATTTCAACGAACTGTGAATTTGTTTATTGAATCCAGTAGTACGTGAGAACGAGTGTAATTTGGTAGGTGCTGATTAGTCGTCAGTTT